TCATTAGAAAAATCTCACCAACACGTTAAAAAAAATTCCAGATGAAAAAAAAAAAAATTAAAGAAATTATGTTTTTCTATTATGAATTGTCGAGCCGTGAAATCTCGGAAAAGAGACCAAGTGGTGTGCGTTACACGCTTGACTGACACCAAACCAGATAACATAGGCGCAGCAATGACGCATCCTAGGCGTAGGACCATCTATACTGACACTTGTAGAATCCAAACTGACTGACACTTGTAGAGAATTTACTGTACTTGGAAGAGAATGATATGAATTTCCAGATGTTGGAAATTCTGAGGAAATTCTAAGAGAAACTTCAGTCTTTATTTTCCGATACTGATAAATATCATCGTTTCTAAACTTCTGACTTTCTTCTTGCGTATCTTCCTTTTTATTTGCATCGGTACGAGGCGAATGTTTTCAATAACGTTTCGAGTTACATAAAAATTCACTTTTGGTAAAGTTGTTAATGGATGATTTTCACTGAGCCATATTTTAAAATTCTCGAAACAGCATGAAATATTGCCAGAGAGGATATTTCTGTTACCGGTATTAGCGAATCAATTTCCCACGAGAGTGAAAAATATTTTTCAAGTGCCTGGCGGAGCTGCCCTCGTTCACGCAGAAAATATTCCGGCCTGCGGAGGACTGTTCGATATGTAGGGACGTTCAACAGGTTGACAGGATATCCAGCGTGGATCCTGCCGCTTTCGAGGAACGGTACAGCTCGTCCAATTCCCCTAATCGCTTCAATCCACGTTTCCAAACTGTTCTTACCCCATTTAACACTCCCTCAATTAACGCCAATCCAATTTCACCCCACACGGTCACTGTGAAAATATTCTTCGAAATACGATTTCAGTTGAACGGCGCAGGGAAGAAACTAACACGATCGAAAAAGTGAAATTTTGTAGGAGTTAAAAAATAAACTTTGAAACAGTAAAAATCAGATGTTCTCAAGACTTCGAATACTTTTTAGATATTTGTCAAATGTTAGTTTATTACTGTTGTTTGCTAAAATTAGGTCTTGATTTGCTTGGGAAATTAATTGTTTAATTACAGAATCGCTCGACTACGTGCTCGGTTTTTTTTTGAAAATATAACAATCTGTCACTTGGAAGGCACCATCTATACTGACACTTGTAGAATCCAAACTGACTGACACTTGTAGAGAATTTACTGTAAATCGATCTTGAAATATTGTCGGTTGGCTCTTTCTTTAAAGATTTTTCACATTTAAATCACCCACGAGAGCAATGCAACGCCGTCATAATTTAAGTGTCACATTTTTCGGATTCTATCGAATTTTTGCTGTTACATGTTTTGGAGTTTCCCCTGCGCTGTTCGATAATTTGATCATTTCCCCGTCGTTCAATCTTTCGTAACGCTTCCGACGAACAGCTACGCATATTCTGGAAGGCCAGTAGTGATCACAGATGCTATGCAAAATTGGACAGCGACGAAAGTATTCTCATTTTCCTTCTTCAAATCACTGTACGACGGAGAGGACGCGAATTGCCAGTTTTTCCCTTACAAGACCGAATTCAAGAGTCTTCAGGATGTATTCGATATGAGCACCGATAGATCTCTGTTGGAGAAAGGAACGAAGCCGTGGTACGTCGGTTGGTAAGTAGAGTTTCATGATTTGCGTCCACGAGATTGGGAGTTTTTCGGTAGTCGAAGGGGGAGCACCGTAAGTCTGATGAGCTGTGCCCGTGAACAGGACAGTTCTGAGGCTTCGATAACTGTCCTAAAGCTCGCACGTATGCACACAATCCGGTTAACGAGCTTACAAGCAGCTACATCGGCCGGTATTCATCGTATTCGCCTGAAACAATTACCTAGAAACTCAGATTCGAGCAGCGTGTTCGCTGTTGTGTGATAACTTCGTTCTGTCGCGGATTTACTAGTTGACTTTACACTGGGTGGTTTGAAAATACTGATTGACGTTAGAACGATAAAAAAGAATCATAGAAAAATTGCGGTAAAGGTTAATTCTGAAACACAGATTGATTTTTTAACGTAGTTTTCATGAAATTGATTCCTATTTTTGAATTACCTAGTGATCAATTAGTTGTAGAGCATTCTCGTACTTACAAATTTTGTATTCCACATTTGCACACTCCACGTTCTGATACTTTGATATTCTAAATTCCTACGCTTCCAAATTCTGTATTCTATGCTCTACAAATTGTGGATCACTGTTTTTGCGACTAAAATAATGTATAAATTGGGAGGATTTATTTCAAGGAGTAATTGCGACGGGGAAATCGGAAGTGTGCTTAGGCAGCATTATAAAAGACCTTATTTCCTGCCCGACACCTCAGAAAGTGAGAAGACCGACTGGATTTTCATGGGTAGCCATGGTTATGGTGCACCTATGCATGTATGTTCCTCTGTTAAAGGGGTCTTCTAGTGTGACGGCCGTTTTCTTAGGCCTTCTTTGCTAATTTATTACAGAAGTGCGGTAACAGTTATTAACGTGAGCTTTATTCCTATGTGTTTACTTGTCCTTGAAGAATCGTTATAAATTTTTCTTGTTGAAAAAGAGTTAAATATGGCTGCTGTGGAACACGTCAAACAGGAACATGAGAAAAAACAAGTAGGTCCATGGCTGCCATGATTTGAGATGTTCTGCTTGTCAGAAATAAAAAAATCCAATTGATTCTTATTTAGTATGCATGTCGCTGTGGTCGGTAGTAGAATAAAAGAAAAATATTGAAAATTAAAAAAATGGCGGCACTTTGAATACGAAGTATCGATTTTTTCGACTTTTTTCCGTCTTTCAGAGGCTCCAAAAATCAGAAAAATGTATATTTTGGCATAATTCTACTACCGACCATAGCCACACATGTTCCGAAGACATGTGCAAAATTTGAGTTCGATTGGTTCAGTAGTTTTTGCCAGATCGTGGCAACCATTTCAGAAAACATGGTTAGGTTTCAGTGCAATTTACATTCTCCCTTGATGTGTCACACTAAACGAGCTATAACTTCGTTATTTTATCGAATACAACTATAAAACTTGAGGAGTACATTCTTAAAAGAGTTGCACTTTCGGTATATACAAAAAAATAGAAATCAATTTTTTGAAACCGTCACACTAGAAGACCCCCTTAATACGTATTTGATTATAATTTTCTTTCCTTGTCACTGGTACAAAAATCTGTTTCTCTTTTTTTTCTTTTATTTAGGTAGATGATGTGGAGCATCCATCTTGGCAAGCGCAGATTAAGGGTGAGAAATTGTGGACTCTAGAGCCACCCAGAGAATGTCATTACAGTTGCAGTAGATTGGAAGTTGTAGTGTATCCCGGAGAAATAAGTAAATGAATTTTTTCCCCTTATTTTAATTCTGATTGAACGAAGATGTTTTGTGACTGATGTCTTTCTTTCCGGGGGGTAGTTGTTCTAGATACCAATCGTTGGTACCATCAGACTAAAATCGTTTCTGAGGAGATGAGCATCACTATTGGGGCAGAATATGATTAGGAGGAGACGTATTATATTTTCAAAGAGACTACGAATTAATAAAGTTATTTTGCCTTGGAATTTATCTGCAGTTTTGGAAGCGAATTCTACATTCTACACAGGGTGTCCCACCTAAATATCTCCTTCAACTGTGATTTCAGTGGCAAAAGACGAGGAATATGCTACAAAGAATATTTTTCTGCCGAGGCAACTTTCGAGGTTTTCATGGTCACCGATTGTTCCGTCGCGCAGGTACGAAACACACGGGGTGTCTTCGTTGACCGGGTTTGTGACACGCTCGCACCAGAAGGTTATTTTTGAGAACAAAGACGCGAAAATACAAGTAATTTCTTGTAAACAATGGCTTTAGAATTTCTATCCTTCGGCGTCCTCGATAGCCGAAGACGTGACATAAACCAGGTGTTCCTGAAGGGTCAATCCACACGCGCGTATAACGGCACTTTCGGCCGAGGGGATTTCCGACGCGTCACCGAAGGACAGCGAAGATTCCACGCACCCGCAGGTAGGGTCCCACTTCTTCCAAGAAAAAGCGCGCTAAGGGCGCAATGGAAGGGTGGGTGACACTTAAGGGGCACGTTGATTGGTAATTTGTGCGTACGTGAAAAGCGTGCCTTCTTACACTTGGCGGGGGAGTCACGGCGGACTCCAGAAAAATTCGGGCATCGGAATACACATTCGCAAAGATTCTCTCGTGCGAACAACAGCACTCTCCGGCCGTTCGAGGAGACATCACGCATATTTCGAGTCGCGATCGAACACTTGAGTTATTTAAAACAAGTCGTCAATCGTTTCGTGACGCACTCTACGTTCCGAGCAAAACAAATTTGAATTAGTTACCTAAGATTAATTTGGCGGGTAACAGTCGCGAACGCGAGCTTTTTGAACAATCACAGGAGAGCGCGACGCGACACCGATGCTTTTTGCGTACAAGTGGATATTTTGTCCCCCTGCATATTGTAGGTAACATTAAAATGCGTTCAGACATGTGTAACGACATGTCCTTGAAGTAGCCTTTGACTCCCAAAATTAAAATAAAATATGAAATTTATTTTCGTCGAAATCACAGACCTTAGCTCAGATTTACGTGTATAAAGTTCACATCGTAAACATGTTTACTATCCCACAAGTATTTCAAGGATAACTTTCAAACAATTCGTCGGTGTAACGATAAACCGTTCACAGTGAGTTATTCCAAGGAAGAGAGAATTGATATCATTTTTATTTACGATGAAAGTCAATAATGCTTAAGGGAAGTGATTTGAAACGGGATTCGTCCTGTTGCACATATGCAAAAGTTGGGAAAACCTTTCGTGTAAGTGGCAGTGTTGACACAAAGAAGCGTGGGAAAACTAAAACTGTGACGCGCGAAATAAACACGAGAATGATTAAGGTAAAGGTACCAGTAGTTTATCAGTTAAGAGAGATCCTCCACGCGCACAATAGTAACCACTTGCTCTGTCATTAAATAGCGAGAGTCGATGCGTGAAGATACTCTTTAAGCCTTCTAGATTATGTAACAAGACCAATTTTAAAAAGACTTATGTTATAAAAATTTAAAAATTCAGTAATTGCTTCAGAAGTTGATCACTCTTAAAAATGAAAAAACTGGTAATTGACCCACTTATACGCTTCAGTCACGAAGAGTTCACAACGTATGGATTTGTTTACCTGAACCGTATAGCTGTTCTTAACAGAAAAGTTAACGCATACTTCTCGTCACATGTAATTCTTTTGAAATTTAACCGATAGATGCATTTTTTACAAAAGAGTATCTCTTATAAAAACCTTATTTTCTACGTTTCTCTAAAAACTGGTCAACTACTGATACCTTTACCTTACGGCCAACGTTAACGAAAATCCTCGTATGAGTTCAAGACAACTTGGGCGTGAAAGTGATGTCGGGAAAAGTAGCTTAATGCGAATACTTCGTCGAGAAAAATTTCATTCATACTGTTAGGGATTAGGTTTATGACATGGACGCCTGTTTACGCTATTTCTGAATGAGCCCCTTTTCTTCTTCGCGTTAATTAATTTTCCTTTCAAATTGGCCACGAAGCCCAGGAAGCGTTTTATGGCTGCAGAAAAATACCTTTTCTGCGGGCCATATACCTTCCCGGTGCCCACTCGTGAACATTCAATAGACATAGACATGTCAAAACCTCTCGCGTCTCCCTGACCGCCCAAAGTCCCGCTACGCGCGGGCTACCCCTTGGGCCTCACTCCCCCGCCATCGCAACATACCGCCACCCTGCCAACTTGGAAATTCCAGGGTGGGCGGCATGCTCGCGGGCCAGGGAGGACCGTCCAAGGGGGTAGACCCGTTCCCATTGGCGGAGACCACCACCTTATACCCCTAAACCTTTTTATAAATAAGCGCACCAACGCGGCGCACATCAGATCAAAAAGGGAAAATAGACAAACACCACATAAACTACCACTCTTCAAAATAAAGTCCTTTTCTTTAACATAATAAAATACGTGCAACCTCACCACACCACGACTTCATACCAGCAAACAACCCGCACCACGAACCAGCGACAATCCTGCGCCACCACTCTCGAACATACCGCTTGTTCGAAGCGCACG